GGTAGAGTTCAAAAGGGGGTCGTCGGGCGGACGGCCCGGGGCAAGGCAGAGTCGAGGTAGGGCGAAGACCACAGCTCTCAGGGGGACCGCAGGAGCCGGAGCGGGGAAGGGTGTGGCAAGATTCTCCACGGAAGAGGACAAGGAGTTGGCAGTACCCCCGGCGATACAGGTGATGCAGGGCCTTCCAACGAGACAGACGGGATTGCAGGGCCCCCAGTAGTAAGATCAGTCGGCGGGCCTCCAGTGGCACAGGACATAGGGCTGGCAGACCCCGGCCAGGAGAGTAGTCCGGCGGGACCTCGCAGTGGCACAGGACATAGGACTGGCAGGACCCCCGGGCCAGGTGAGGTAGTCGGCGGGCCTCCAATGGCACAGGACACATAGTTGGCAGGACCCCCGCAGCAGAGTAGGCGGCGGGGCCTCCAAAGGCACAGGACCATAGAGGTTGCAGGACCCCGCAGAAAGAGAAGTCGGCGGGGCCCTCCAATGGCACCAGGACATAGGGTGGCAGGACCCCGGCAGAAGAGTAGTCCGGCGGGACCTCCAACGGCACAGGCATCAGGGTCGGCAGGACCCCCCGGCAGAAGGTAGTAGTCGGCGGTCTCCAACGGCACCAGGACATAGGGCTGGCAGGAGCCCCGCTATCGCGGAACCTCCAACGGCACAAGGAGTAGCGCTTGAGTGGAGACTCGAGAGGAAACTTGAGAGTTGACTGAGAGATGACTTTAGTGGGAACTTGAGCGGAGACTTGAACGGAGACTTGAGAGGAGACTCGAGAAGTGGACTCTGAGAAGTACTCGGAGGGGACTCGAGAGGTGACTCGAGATGAAGACCCGAGAGGGACTCGAGAGGGGAGTCTCGAGAGGGGACTCGAGAGGGATGACTTGAGAGAGACTTGAGAGGGAACTCGAGAGGTGACTCGAGAGGCGGACTCGTGAGAAGCTTGAGAGGTGACTGAGAGGGAACTTCGAGAGGTGACTTGAGAGAGGATACTCGAGAGGTACTTGAGAGGACTCAGAGTGGACTCGAGAGGGTACTGGAGAGGGAGACTTGAGAGGATGCTTGAGACGGTTGGTTCCGCCGACAGAACTCGGGGAGCTGGCGTCGGCCTGAACAGCCAACAGGGACAGAGGTGCTGGAGTCGGCCGGTATGGTCGACAGGACTCGGGGAGCTGGCGTCGGCTGAACAGCCAACTGGAGACGAGGAGCTGGAGTCGCCGGTATGTCTGGACAGGACTCGGGGAGCTGGCGTTGGTCGGAACTACGCCGACAGGATCGGGGAGCTGGCGTTGGCCGGTAAGCCAGTCCTGGAGCCGAAACTGGAGTCGGAACCATGGGTACTGGGGCCGGTACTGAAGCCAGAACCATGGCTGTAAGGTCCGGTTCTGGAGCCGGAAACATGGCTGTAAGGTCCGGTTCTGGAGCCGGAAACATGACTGCTGGGGCCGCACTGGAGCCGGGACCATGGCTGTAAGGTCCCGGTTTGGAGCCGGAACATGGCTGTAAGGTCCGGTCTCTGAGCTGGAACATGACTGCTGGGGCGGCACTGGAGCCGGAAACATGGCTGTATGGTCCGGTTCTGGAGCCGGAAACATGGCTGTAAGGTCCGGAGCTAAGCAGGGGCCATGGCTGCTGGGCCGGCACTGGAGCCGGAACCATGGGCTGCTGGGCGCGGAGCGGAAGCCTGGACCCTGGCTGTGTAAGCCAGGTAATGGAGTATGGAAGCATGGATGCGTGGGCCGGCACTGGAGCATGGAGGCATGGACTCGTGGGCCGGTTCTGGAGCAGGGACCATGGCGGCACTGGAGCCGGAACCATGACTGCTGGGCAAGGAACCGGAACACGGGTCCATGGCTGTGTGGGATGGTACTGGAGCACGGTACCATGGCTATGTGGGATGGTACTGGAGCACGGAACCATGGCTGCTGGGTCCGGCGCTGGAGCCGGAACCATGGCTGTTGGGCGCGGAACCCTGGCCTTGCGTCTCTTAGGAGTTTTTTGGAGGCTTCGTGGACCTCCAAACGCCAGACCAGACCCCAAGAAAGGGTCAGAAAATGAGGACTGGCTCTCAGGGCTACGTGAAAAAATCCTAAGCCACTCGGGCAACAAGCTCCAGAGCCAGGGCTTGCGAGCAACCTCCTGACGTGCCTCCTTCAACGCAGCCTCTCTACCCCGTCTAGATGAGGCGCCTTTTCACGTATAAAAAAATATATACTCCAGAGAGTATCCAGGAACCCCTGTAGCATCAAAAGGTCCGCTGGGTCCATTTTTGGTCAGTTCGTTCTGTTACGATTCCAGGCACTTAGTATGTAGGACCCAAATGCAGACAGGGAGGCAGAGGTAAAGTATTGTGAGATACTTTATTTTTCCATGATTTAGCACAAATTAACAAAAAGGTAATCACCAAAACTCCAGTCGAGATGACAAAAAAAACAGAGGACAAAAAATGAAGGCGCTCACGCAGTGAGGAATCAAAACCAAAGAGTTCCAAAAGCATAGACCTGACATGACAATAGACAAGACGAACTGACACTGAACACTGGGAGACAGGGGAATTTAAACTCAGGGTAACAAGGCACAGGTGGGAACAATCAGGGGCGGGGCTGACACTGATGGGCACAGGAGACACACGAGGAGTGACAGGTGAAAACAATCAGGGAATTAGACACACCAGGGAACTAACGACAGACAAGAAAAACACAGGGAAAAGGACCAGACAATAACCCAGGAGGAAAAACATGACCGCAAACACCCAAACCTAGACAGACAACACTAAAACCCGTGACATAAACCTGGGGGTGTGACAATTAGTATAAAATACATTATGTAAACATTTTAAAACATGTAATGCCAATTTACAACCGTAGTCCCTAGGTAATAATACACATTAACATTACAAGCCACAATATACAAGTACAAATATACAATACACAAAAGTAAAAACAAAAGTACAAAGTAAAAAGGACCAAACACATAGTTATGCTAACATTAATTTATGTGTTTTATTCAACTGAATAAAGAATTAGAATTAGAATCTGTTGAATATCACAAATGTAACTCCATAGTTTATTTGTAGATATTATATCCTTCAGGTTTTTTGATGTTCACAATGAAACACAGTGAAGTATTATGGAAAGTGAAAGTGATAGCACAGTGTTCTTTGTACTGTATCATATCTTGTGCAGTTTTGAGTTAGGTCTGGTTCACTGACTGATTGTGTGAATACAAACATGCTCAAAAAACCAGCTGCAGCTCTCAGGGACCTTTTGTTCAGGTTGTCTTAAAATAAACACTTGACATAAAAACAAAGTGTTACATCTGTCAACGAGGTGTGCATGAAAGTATATAAAATCAACAGTGATTGACTGAAGAAATATGGTCCTTTGGATGCTCAGCGCTTTACACTTAGTCTTGAAATCCATGCATGAAATGTTTGGGATATTTAAAATGAACTTCATTCAACTTTAGCCTCTGTTGTTACTCACCAGTAGAACGCCAAACAAAAGAGAAACTGCTGCCACACAATCGTTTCTGTTTTTGTTTAGCTTGTAGCTACAGCAAGCATTACATGTTTACAGTTGATTATTTCCCAACAGCTGAACGCTGGTTTAGTCGAGGTGACACATTTGGATGCTCATATAGGAGTGTGAAGTGTTGTGCTCTCTGCCTGAGAGTGCTGGTGACGAACGGCGGTTGTAGCCAGTCACTCGAGGCGCTGCAGCTTCATTAAATGCTCGCTGTGTTGCTCCACTTGGGTCACTGCGGCTCCCTCTCCCTCACATGGGTGAAAAGCAAATGACAAAGCTTTTCAAGACAATTTGGAAGAGTTGAAAAGCTTTTTTTTGGCTTATGAGGAAAACGTGGGATGTGGGAGGCTTTCAGAGTCAGCGGTGAGAGGTGCAAAATGTCAAACACAATGAAATCATTTTAGCATTTTCGATTAGGATAATTGGATTTATTGTTGAAATTTGTGAGCGAGAGTAAGCCGGTCAGAGGGACAACCTTGTAGCATCAAGGACCTTCCCTCTCTAGAGACAATTACAAGACATTTAGGCAGGAGAAGGCATGAGAGTTTAAAGTGCAGGTGTAAATGGAAGCACAGGTGTGGGAATGCATGCACTGAATAAAAACCCAACAATTAATACTTCTTTGTCTGCCATGCCTAAATGAAAAAGAGGGGGAAAACACTGGAAATATACCACAGGGATGCATGTATTTGTGTCAGTGCGGTAGTGACATTTCTCATCTGTATTCAAGTCCTCTATAAAATCTCTCCAACATGATACCACTATCATTTTGGACATTCAACATTTAGTGGATTTCAGTGCCTGAGTACACTTATAACTAAACTGTGGGGGAGTGTAGAAAGTGAAAAGACAGGGAGGGAAAAAAATGCAACTATCCACCCCCACAGTATCTTTTTGAAGCTCTGTACTCTGCGATGGAGGATTGAGGATGGAGAGAGATATGTACAGGGAAAGAGAGTGCATGCAAAAGAGTGAGGTGGTGAACAAGTTTAAAGAAATCAGCGAGTTCAGCTTTCTCCACGTCTGCTCGGTCAGACAGGTGCTGAACAACGTTTGGGTTTAATTAAGTCTAGTGTGGGACTGAGAGGCCTACAGGAGAGAGGGAGAGAGAGAGAGAGAGAGAGAGAGAGAGAGAGAGAGAGATTTGCTGGAGCCTTGACCTTATTTTACAAGTTGAAGTTAATGGAAAGGAACAAGCGCTGTCATCATAGTTTCTCCCCTCTCTGTGTGTGTCTCATACAAACACACACAAATGTAAAAAGTCACACGCTCCCTCTCCCTCACGGCCTTGCCTCTCCCTTCATTCCTTTTTTTTTTCTCTACCAACCGTTATAAAATTAAAGGTCTTTGTCATTTCTGATTCTCAGCCCTCTCTCAATGTTCTCGGCGTTATGAGATTGTGACTCATTTTGTGTTTCCTCCTGTGACTTGTAGGTGGTGACCTCGGGAAAAAACGGCAGAGGATACCATTATATACTCGCCAACCTGGTGAGCACAACATTGCTGGCTGTAATGCAATGCATAGAAATACTCTCAATCTGTGGTTTTGATAGTGCAGTAATAAGTGAATGATGGGCAAGCTAGAGCATTTATTTCTCAGCTGCTAATGATCCCCCGCTCTACTACCAGTCATTTGTGCTCTTTGCTCCCAGGGGTTTTCCAACATGAGCCTGGACAGGGTGACTTCTGGTGGAGCCAACATCACAGGCTTCCAGATCATCAACCCAGACAGCCCCATCGTCCAGCAGTTCCTCCAGCGCTGGGAGCGCCTGGATGAAAGAGAATTTCCAGAAGCCAAAAACACTCCACTAAAGGTCAGTAAGGCAGAGCTGGCGATGCTGCAGTTACATTTTATTTCACTTCTTCAAAGACACTTTTTGTCCCCCACTACTTCCTCCGAGTCTTAAAGTAGTAACTCTCTATGTCAATCTCCATCTTTTCTTAAATAACTTGTCGTCTGCTTGCCCTTGAATAAAGGCGTCTTTCATATTCGCACCGTTTTGATGTCAGTCCTACTGCGAGGCTTTGATTTTTCAGCAGCAGTGTGCACAGAAGCAGTGCTGCTGTGATGATAACCTTGCTTTGATAGCTGTGAAGGGTGCATGACGTCAGCGGTGCGTCACCGGGGTTTCTTGTGGCCTTTTGTCTCAGTACACATCAGCGTTGACCCACGATGCCATCCTCGTGATCGCCGAGGCCTTCCGGTACCTTCGACGGCAGCGAGTGGACGTGTCCCGCAGGGGGAGCGCTGGCGACTGCCTCGCCAACCCCGCTGTGCCCTGGAGCCAAGGCATCGACATAGAGAGAGCCCTCAAAATGGTAGGACTGAGGGCGATCACTGTCTCCCTGAGCTGCTTTGCTTTTTTATTTTAATGACTGTCTAATATTTGCTTTACATCACTTCACTTATATTCTGCTTCAAAAGTTTTCAATTGAACTGTATGGTACATTTTAAATATCCTTAATAAATGGTAAATTGATAGTGCATTACACTTATTTTACTGAATAAAATGCCATTTTATAATATTTTACTCATATTTAAGATGGTAAAGTTTATGTTATTTTAACTATTTATTGTTGCGCACATTATGCCATTTTATATATTGTATTTACAAGGTAGTTGTTAATGATTATCAAAATATGTTTAATGAATTTATGATTAATGATTTATGAAATAGTAAAACGTCAGTAAGATTATGGACCAGATAACACTTTGTTGATTAATTGGTTAAACATCTGTTGGATGACAAATATAAAGTTGACAGTGAGGACTATAATAACTTGTTAAATGGTTATAATTAACTTTAAAAGCACTTATAAACATTATTTTATTGGGTAGTTAATACTTTACCAAATTATTTTTTAAACAAGAATCTATTTATTACCCATGAAAACCATTAACAAAGAATTAATAAAGCATATAACATATTAAGCTGTATCGCCTCTCATCAGCTATGATACTATATCATTTATAAATTAATTATTTCATATTACAGACATTTTATCATTTCAAATAGTTATTCATCTTTTTTAAATGTTATTCTTCCAAAAAAAAAAGTACAATTACATTCATGAACATTCAATGTATTATTTATTATGATGTTATTAAAACGTGTTACCTCCAGAACCTTATTTAATTTAATATATCACATTTGTAAGACCGTTAATACACCATAAATCATCAAGACCATTCAATGCATGTTTACATATGAAGTATTATCCTTATTCTCTTGGTGCTTTGCAGGTCCAAGTACAAGGTATGACAGGAAACATCCAGTTTGACACATTTGGCCGCCGCTCTAATTACACTATTGAAGTGTACGAGATGAAGGCTGCTGGCCCCCGTAAGGTAAGTGGGCACACAGCCTCTCCCTCATAATTTAATTAATGTGTAATTAAAAATCACCGAGCTGGATTAGCATATGTAATAGATATACGTGATGTATGTTTGGAATCCACAAACATTAATATAGTCACTTTAAGCAGCTCTGTGACAGGAGTTTACTTACTTGGCATGTTGGCACAAGTAGTAACGTTGTTTTTAATTTGGACAGAAGCTGCCAGTAGCCAGTCTTGCAAAACCAGCCCAAATCATTTGAGCTAACATCCCCTCTGAGATTTGAATCTGAAAAACATCCACTGAAAATAAACCGAGCCA